ATGGTCGTGAGCTATTAATTAATTATTATTAATGGCATTTTCATTAATTAACTCATATCTTCGTCAAAAAGGCGCATGGGCCCAAACCAACTTGGGGTTTTTCACTACTGACTATTTCCTACATGATGAAAATAGTCTGAGTCGAAAAGCTTTTAATCACCTTGAGAGGTTCCCTCGTTAGTTATGTGGAACACGTTTTTGCGAATCAACATTCTCCAGGTCTACCAAGCGAGATCAATGTATAAATATAAACATCATGTACTGTAAAAGAACTACTCAACTGGTACGATAAAGCATCGTATATCCCTATCACACTTATACTGTAGACTTTACTGATCACCGTGAACAAGGACGTCGCTTGCACAATGAAGCCATTATTTGTCCTTTTTCTGAAGATACATTTACTTGTAAGTACTTACATCACTTAACAAGTATTTATTAAGTAAAACTACAAGTGCTTTTATAAAGTATAGTATTTCGTCGTAATAAAACCAAGTATTCAACCTTGAAGAAGTACTTGTAAAAGTTCATGGCAAAGAAGTAGTTTTGAATATACTTGCTAATTTCTCCAAGTATCTATCAAGCAATCAAATATTTGAATCAAGTGCGTTCTCTAGGACAATACTTAACGTAAGATTATGTTTCATAAAGCAACCTTTTTAATAAGTTGTATAATCAAAAGTGGAGACTTCCATTTTACTCTAGAACATATAGTGGATGAAGTCGTTTCAAATTTCCAACAAGCAGCATTTATAAAAGAGTTCGGTTAGGTCAAACAAATAGACAGTTGTTATTGTGTTTCCATTTTTGAGACAGACTAAGCCAGTAAAAACAGTCATGATGGAGAAATGAATCATAAATTAGTCAATTAGTCTTCTAATTGGTATTTTTACTTTCTAACGAAAATTATGTGTTTGTCTGTTGAGCGATTGTATGCATGAAACTCAGTAAAACAAAAGTATTGTTTTTCGAAACTTTGTCAATCAAATACTATCACTCGTCGCTTTGGTGCTCATTTTTGAGTTAAATAGAGTTTTGTAACATGCTTGACCATTGTAAATATTGTTTTTTTCAGATAATTAGAATTAACTCTCCTATGGCTATTCGTGTGTTAGTTGGTGTGAAACGTGCTATTGATTATGCCGTTAAAGTGCGTAGATTTATTGTGTTGATCGATAATTTTTACTGTTTTTTCTTGTATTTAATTTAGATCCAAGTTAAATCAGACAAATCGGGAGTAGTTACCGATGGAGTAAAACATTCAATGAATCCATTTGACGAAATAGCAGTTGAAGAAGCGATACGTTTAAAAGAGAAAAAAGTGGCACAAGAAGTTATTGCTGTTTCATGTGGACCCCAACAATGTCAGGTACGTTTATTTTTGTTTTCTGAGCCGTTCAATTTTCTTCTCAATTTAGGAAACACTTCGTACAGCTTTGGCATTGGGTGCTGATCGTGCAGTGCATGTTGAAGTGTCCGGTAAAGATTATGAAATGTTACAGCCATTGGCTATATCCAAAATATTGGCAGCAGTAGCGAAGAAGGAGAACGTCGATTTAATATTATTAGGAAAATTAGTATGAACTCTTATATCTAAACCAATTATGATACACGGAATGATGCACTTTTCAATTCAGGCAATTGATGATGATTCTAATCAAGCCGGACAAATGGTAGCGGGATTATTATCTTGGCCACAGGTAGCTCTCGTTATACCATAAAAACGCAAGTATTCCTTCTCAATAACACCTATTAGATATTATTCACCGTTAAGTATTATTTAACGGTGAATATTTGGGAAAAGATGGCTCTTAAGTTATTTGTCTAATAGATACGTACTTTGATTCGCGTATGATGAGTTGTAGAAAATGAGAATATTATTAGAAAATCTATCGTTCTCTCCTGTGAGATAATTAATTATCATATGATACTCTAGACAATAATGACTTGCACAGTAACGTTAAATAGTGACATCCATTCTTGAATTACTTATAAAAAGTGGATTAGATATGAAAAAATCAGGGGCTTTTTCTACAAGTTAAGTGTTTCTTCTAAAGGGTTCAAAAAACTACTTGGCTGTAATCGATTAATAATGGTATACTTTAGTCTTCTGTTTTATTCTAGGCCATGTTTGCATCAAAAATTGAAATAAAAGATAAAAAAGCTGAAGTGACACGTGAAATTGATGGCGGTTTAGAAACAGTTCGTGTTACTTTACCAGCTGTTATTACAGCAGATCTAAGATTAAATCAACCACGTTTCGCTAATTTACCATCGATTCAGGTTTGCAGAGTGATTTTAACTACTATATATTTATTACACTATTTATCTCTTACGTGTATAGAAAGCAAAAAAGAAACCGTTAACAAAAATGACGCCGAGTGAATTGAATGTTGATATCAAACCACGACAAGAGTATTTAACCTATGAAGAACCACCAAAACGTAAAGGTGGCGGCAAACCACTTGCAAGCGTTGAAGAACTTGTCGGTAAATTAAAACAAGCTGGTGTTTTGTAATATTTTTTGTAACTTCATTTTGTTATGTTATTTTGTAATTTGAATATAAAGTTCTTTCATCAGTAGTCTGTTATAATGTTTGCAATTCTTTTTTAATTCTTGTAGTTTATATATTTTAATAGAAAGAGAAGACGTCTCGTACTGACTTCAAATTTGTTTTCTTGTACAGCCTTTTTTGTCAAGAGTAATAAGTTGGTATAACTCAAAAATGTTGTCTCATTGTTCAATCGATTTTCTTAGTTTAAACACGTTGGGAAAAGCGGTATTTTTATCTTCGTCTTTCTGCTATTTTGTTTATCCGACTTTCGAAAATACATCTGAAATAATTTGTTACCTGTTACTAATCTTCGTGGTCACTAATACTCTAGTAAAAACCTGATAAATTTCAAAAAGTGAAGATGAAAAAAAAGGTTCGAATTTGAAGAAACTTATATCCGTAAGAAATGATAAACTTTGACGTTGATGCGTTCGTTTTCCATCATTTAGCTCATGATAATTGCGAGAGCGTTGAACCGTTGCGAAGAGTCAAAGTTAAAGGGGGGGGGAATATTTTTGCCAAAAAATTCTTTTAGAGTTGATGACGTTTTTCTTTTGTTTGCCATTTTTTGAAAATGGATATAAAATAGTATCTGAGAGTAAATTTTTCTCTTAATTGGATTTACTTAATTTTTCTAGAGTATAATCTTGGCAATGGAACAAATAGGAAATTCTTTAAAGAAATTTAAGCTTGTGTTTTTGGGCGAACAAAGTGGTAAGCATTTAAACACTACATTTGATGAAAATATCAATGGAAACATTTTTGTCTGATTATGTTTAGTGGGTAAAACATCGTTAATAACGCGATTCATGTATGATAGTTTTGACAATATGTATCAAGTACGTTATTTGAAAAAAAGATATTCGTCAGACAGTAATCTTTTCATGTTCAATAAGAGAAGAATATGTATGTTCATCGCAAAATTCATCCAGAAGAGGAAATCTTACTCTTTCGTTTACCTCAAACTGATAAACATGTATGTATTAGATAACATCGTTCTAAAATTTTTAGGCAACAATTGGTATTGATTTTCTATCAAAAACAATGTACTTAGAAGATCGTACTGTTCGATTACAATTATGGTGATTGTTTAAATAGAATCAAATATATTTTATGCATTAAGTTTGAGTTTGTTAGGGACACTGCTGGTCAAGAACGCTTTAGATCATTAATTCCAAGTTATATACGTGATTCGACCGTTGCAGTTGTCGTTTATGATATAACAAGTAGGTGTTGGTCGAGAACATTATCTTTTTATTCTATCGAAAAGAATTTTATTCTTAGATTCAAATTCATTCCAACTGACATCGAAATGGATCGATGATGTTCGAACAGAACGTGGTAGCGATATAATTATAATGTTAGTTGGTAATAAAACCGATCTTTCAGATAAAAGGTAGCTCTTTTTTCGAAACTTGTACGGTGAATATATTATATTTCACCATCTGTCTTTTTTTTTTATAGAGAAGTTTCAACAGAGGATGGAGAACGTAAAGCAAAAGAGCTACACGTTATGTTTATTGAAACAAGTGCAAAAGCGGGCTATAATGTCAAACAGGTGAGAAGTTTTCCTCAAATTAAAATATCACAACATTGAACAATAGTTACTTTATTTTTCGTTTAGTTATTCCGACATGTAGCAGCCGCTTTGCCTGGAATGGAAACGTCTCAAAGGGAACCAGATTGTATCCTTTTCATATTGCTATCACATTTTTATTTACTTAGACTAATCTTAGTGATACTATGTGTTTGAGTAGTTGCATGACTACTACCTGTAGTTTAGTAAACGTAATAAACATGCGCTCTTCCACACGAGAAATCAGTTTCAAATTTGTTTATTAACTATATTAATTATTTATCAATCATTTTTTCCTCTTAACTTTCTATTTTCACAAAATACAGCGACGGACATTCATCTGCCAAAACAGGAGTTAACACAAGATAATCAAAATGGTTGTCGATGTTAAAATCGATGCTTGTTATAGGCGTATCTCAAAAATTCTACTATTATAAGATTTCAAGAAACTTTTTTTCTCATATACTTTTACTATTTAGATATATTTTCGATTTTTAAATATTATTAATGAATCTGAAATGAACATTGGTTATTGTATTTTTATGTGTTTTTGTTGAATTCTTTTTCCATTTCTCTGTTCAAAAGATACGAATAATGTTTCAGTACGCGAGTTTTTTGTTTTTTGTTCAGTTTTTACATTAAATAAGTTATTTTCTTTGGTATCGAACACACAGTTCCTCAGATTTTAAACATCAAGGTTTTATGTGTACCTAAACTTAATATTACGCGGTTTTTTTTCGTTTGAAATATATTGATATTGATATTGATATTTAACTATACAATATTTATGTTGACTTCCACGTGAAGTTTTACTTGTGCTTTCTGTTCTTTTTCGTTGTTATTTTCATTTTATGCCAGACAAATATAAA